GGGGATACCGATGCAATAACGTATCTTTCAGGCTTTTTAGATACTCCTTATCATTTTGTTTTAGAATCAACGTGATTGCATATTGAATTATACGTGATCGCGATCTGAGGGGATAACGTTTAAAACCTGTATCTTGCATTGGAAGTCCAAGCAACATTTCCGCTGTGGAAACCTTTGTTTTTTGTAAATTCTACAAAATAAAGATATATACAATTTTGTAATAGAGTAGAAAAAAAATGCTTTTGAAAAGCTATATATATATATATAAGACAATCACTAAAAAATAACGACAAAAGCGCGTTTTGACAACATAAACATAAACAATTGGTTGGTTTTTTGATTTATGAATACGTTAATTATATTTTACACATATATGAACTATTAGAAATAATAATAAATACATCCGGGTCCACAGCATTTATTTAAGTATTAGTGATCGTTAATATAGATGGATGTATGTATATTGTATTAATAATCTGCACAAGTTGACTTGAAAGGTCGCTTATTAGTAAGACTAAGAAATCGAGCTGTTTATCTCACCTAACCTACGATATAACAGACTATAACAGATTAATGATGCCTCTTTAAACTTTTGCAGAGTAAAGATTGAGAGCGAGATTTCACGTTACTGAACACGTAGTTTGCACTTTGCACTTGTAATCAGTGACTGATAACATAGATAAGCGCTTTAGGTTAAAATATTTTTAGGAAATAAATATAAACAAAAAATTATTAAAGTTCAAGTTTAATAATGATAAGAAAATTAAAAATCTTTTGATAATTTATAGCAATTCAATAATAACATTTACAAAAATTTATTATCAGACTATTTGAATAAATGACTAAATGAGTAACTACTAACTGCTGAAAACTGATTGACTAAAGTAAAAATCCATTAAAATGGTAAAAAGTGTGAATTAAACAATTTGTTCCAGCTACAGTGGATTGTTAAGTTTTTATTGTTTCAAATAAAAACACATTTTAATGTCCATGAAATGAATTATAAAAATATTAAGTTTATTTTAATTAAATTGAAAATGTGACGAAAAACTGTTTTATACGGTTTAGAAATTAAAGACATTGAGTTTTTAAATGGAGACCTAATCGTCACCTGCTCAGTATTTCAGATGGGAATAGGAATGTCCGGCATAGTATTTTTACCATGTCCAGATGAATACAGATACTCGCTACAGATAGATGCACCTTGAAGTGGTGGTAACGCAGGCCATGGTGCAGACCATGGTCTGTTCTACAGAAATGGAATGCCATAATATATTTGTAAAGACGATCGAGCTATTTAGGTTGTGAGTTTTATTTTATTTCAAAGTACAGAACATCACTTTGCAAGTCGCCAACTCAGCCTAAATTAAATGGGCTATGTTAGGTGAATGAACATAATAAAGAAACGATTTTTATAATTGTATGTTCACAAATTCTTTTTTTTATAGAATGAAATTATGATTGTAACATTCTTAGTTAAAAAAACAGTCATTTCATGAAACGATACACACCTATGTATATTTGTTGTTTCAATAAAGTTTATTCCCAGAAAAGATGAAAATTATTGTTTAGAATTTTTTTGATTTCTTCGATTCAAGTCCTGTGTTCTGAATATGTTTCTACACCTATATGTTTCTATGATAGGAAGTTAATCAGTGATACTAATGTTTCGTATAATATATACATTTTTATCATTCTGTCAAAAACAAGGCATTAAGTCAAATTAAGTCATTCATTAGAATACTGAAACTGATTTTCGTTTAAAAAATGTGGTTGTAGCTATTTGTGTGGTGTTTTGGTATAATTAACCATCCATGGACTTCTGATATATTGACAATAATTAAAGTTAAGATATTTATTTATGAGATCAACGCTACTAAATGGTTTATTAAATTTTAAACCATAGAACACACGAACTAATGGTAATTACTAACTCAGAGGTTACTCAGAGTATAAACTCTATTAAATTATAAATAGAAACATAGAAACATGATTCATTTGCATTTATTTCTTATGTTTTTTTATTTCTATTACGATTATAATTGACTTTTATTGAAATATAGTTATATATTAATTCTATCACAGTAAGTTTTACTTGACATAAAATAACACAAAGATAAAATTGATCTGGCTGGTTCTAAGCCACAACTAAATCTATTGGTCCGTAGAGATATTAGATGAAGGAACAGCTATTTATTAATTTGTAGTAGAAATAAGTTGCGAGTCTGGTGTTTGTTTGAAATTCTGTTCCATACATGTTCTTTGATATTACAAATTATGGAATACATATACATTTTAGAAGTGTCCAGGAAGACGTGGAACATAAACTTAAAATATTTAAATAACCCCAACTAATTTAATTAAATCCTTAATTAATTTTAATATTAGAAATCTCTATATACAGATATTTTCCACATATACTTTTTCATTTTTAATTCGGGTTTTTTGTGCAGTTAGTTAGCACTTTTTATTTTTTAATCTAATTTGTTTCTTGTTCTTTTTATGCTATTAACTGGCACTTGATTAATTAAGCTATACTGAGCACTGATTGCTTGCGTAAGTGAAGTGGTGGGGTTTACTTTATAATTGACATGAATTCAATTTAGTACTACATATGAGTTAAGTACAATATGTTAAGAATTTTCTATTATTATAAACTTGAATACTCATTTAATTTGTTGCACCATTTATAAGAAGTAATCGAATAATATATTTTAAGCTAGTACTCTTTAAATTATTATTAGAATTTATAGAACTAAAATTAAGAGCCACAATGTATTTATTAAAGCAATCCCATAATCTTCATTTTCTAGAATGTGTTTTATGATACTATAATCTATATTGACTAAGGTCAGGTTCGATTTATAAAAGCAACATTTTGCATCAATTAAATGAACGAATATATCAGAAAATCACAACGTAATTGCTTTTACAATTGAAAATCGCAGTACTTTATATATATATGTATACATATATATTGTATTACTCTTTACATAACATCAACGCAACTGCTTAAGTGCTATGTCAAATAAAAATATAAACAAGACTTTTGAAGAAAATAATGATCTTGGCTGGAACAAATACTGACATCATCGCACATCGCACATCGCACATATGAAGCATGATTTACGTTATTTGCAATGCACTACAAAGATTGCGATGCAGTATTAAATACATACAGATATTGTAAATAAGTTATATGGTATGGTAGGTATATTTATATATCTTACATGATATTGGAATATTGTATTCAATATGTTGGTGTCCCTGGTGAAATTGTGGACATTCTGTCCCCAAATGTTCGCTGGCGACAACACCAAGCAATTATACTCCGGAAATATTTGCTCATTCTGCACGCGTTTAACATTGTCGACATGTAAGCAAATTTTGTCAAGTGTACGTTTGCTGTAATTGAAATAAATTAAATGTTCATTAAAGATTATAAAAATACTTAAAAGAGTAATAACGAGATTACAATAAACGTACAAGTGGGCACATACTAATATAATGGGCTTAGGCTTAATAGATTATTTAAAATGTTGTAAGGAATACAATAACTTTTTTAAAAAGACTTACTTTTCTTCGCTTTCGTGATTTCGTACAATTTCAAGCAAACGAAAAACCTCGTAGAGTGGCGCACGAAACGCATCCATCAAATGCATATCTTCGGTCCACGGTAATACACTGGAACGTAGAGTTATCTGTTGGACGTATAGCATTGGCGAACTTTGCGTCCACGGCAAGGGTGGATCATAGCTAACATTGTTCACATTGAAAATATTTTTGACTACTGAAAAGTTTTTGTCACCTTCTCCAAAGAGCGAATATTTACCTTCAAAAGGTAATACGATTTTCGTTGGTATTGTGCCCGGTAATGGTATATTTATGAGGGGATAACTGAAATAGTGAAAAGTATATATTAAATGATATATGTTTTATATTTATATATATATAGAAAAAAAAAACAAATTTAATTTGTTTCAAGTTATTTTTGGGTTGATTAAATTGGTTCAAGATTTGACTGATTGTGGTGCATTTTTATTAAATATTGTTGGATGAACCAGTAAAAAAAAGGGGGTATTTTTTCAATAAAAAAATTTAATATTAAATTTAGTGAACACTTGAGCCGACCGTACAGCTGTTTCCACATACTTCGTCCCTTTTCTCCCTTAACCATTCTTTGTTCAAAAATAGGTTTCCTGTTATAGGAAATAAAAATTTGTTATTATTAATAGGAAAGATGTCATATTATTGGATCCAAAATACATTTTTGGTAAAAATAATTTTTTTTTTATTCTAGGGAAAAAAATCGATTTTATTTAAAGTTTTTAATTTAAAATCTATTATATCGTATATATATACAATATAATAACAAAATTTTAGATATGCCTATAGTTAAAAGTCTCAAACTACTATATTCGACTGATTTTGATGCAAGTTTTATGAAATCTGAACTAATTTTTTAGTTAAATATTTTGATCCGTCATTCTACTGCAGTACCTCACAAGGCACAAGCCATACACCAACAGTTGTTCATATTCATGTACATGTTTGTGAATAGTAAGCAAAGGAATAAATTTCGAATAGAATGCCTATGTCTAAAAGAGAGTGTTGGGCATGTTTAAGTAAACTGAAGCGAATAAAAGTGGGTTGTTAGGTTTGTGGCTTATTAAACATTTCTATTATTTACACAGAAATACAGTTAAGTGAACATAATAGACATTATGCTGCTAAAAGTAAATGTGAAATTGATATTGGATCATTTATGTTTTATTTAAAGTGTAAGTATATTATTTCAAAGATAATTAAACAAATTGTAGACGAGCTAGCCACACGGAACACCTAAACAATCTGGGCATATCGTTGACATCATGCAACCTGTCACTGAGTTGTTCCTGTGCCGAAGTCGCTCCAATAAAAAAAAATGAAACTCTCTTAATGAGATGCCCCGTAGAGATATCAGTCTTGTAGTAGGTTTACTTATAGGTCATGGTATTTTAGGTAACCACGCTAGGAGACTAAATCACCCTTTTAACCATACCTGTCGCAGTTGTGGTGAGCACGATGAAAGTGCCTCTCATCTGTTCTGTTTTTGTCCGGCATATGCGCGACGCCACCATAATACTTTAGGGGTTTCTTTCTTTCTTTTTTGAGACCTCCGTCTGAATAGCTTTGTCAAAGGTTTGACCTAAGTGGATACCTTGGAATCGCCGGTATAACCTGACCTAACCTAATTAAACAGTTTGCATTTTGAATGAAAAGATTTTACGGTTAAGATTTGAAGAAGTAGGATATTTCCTCTTGTTTTTCATGAAAAAAGAAATCAAGCTTATTCTTTTTCGTCAACTCGATAACCACGTGGAGAATACGTAGAGTAAACTAAACTTAAAATGAATCACAACATTATCGTTTGACTTACTACTGGAATAATCTGTGATATTTTAGGAACTACAATTTTGAGTGATTAAGAGAAACTAATTTTAATTTTTTTATACTAAAATAAACTACATACTATAAAAAGTGAAATTCCCCAAGTTTAAGTATAAAGAAATCAAAGTATAATTATTTGTATCTATATGTGTGTTTCCTATAAGTTAGCAACATGAAAGTGTGTAACATATGTTTGGTGTTATCGCACCTGTCAGTATGTTGCTTATCGGAGAGCTGCTGTGCTATGACCAGACAGATTAAAACTGTTGGCATTGAAAAATACAGTATATATGTATATAAAAAAACCTGAACACGTACTTTTTAAAAACTACATTATATTCTTCAATTTAATTGTGTGTGTGTGTGATTTCTACTCAATCAAATCAAACATATGCATTAATAATACGGAACGATAGACAATTATAAACAGTAGTCACAATTAGATACTCATTGTCACCTATGTTTTAGCTCAATGCACTCTGAAAAATAGTATATATTGTGCAAATTTATATAGAGTCACTTAGAGATTCTCGTCGTAAATTCTGCAATACGTTTAGAACACCATGTAGAACGCTTTTTAATCGCAGCTATTGACCGGCATATATGAACCCAGCGCAAATGGAAATAGGCATTGTCAGATAGTGGAGACTGATAATACTTATACTTTGAAGGAAATGCTTCGCACGGGAACGACGTTGCTAGACTTCACATTTGCAATTGTTGGGCTGCAATTGTAAATAAATCTAAGCGAATCGCTATTATTTGTATTTGTATTTGTATTTGTTTCACTATTATGTCAATACTATACTTTGAATAAATATTCAATGTTTACCTTACACAAATCAGATTAATGGAATTTTCAATAGAATTTTGAATTCGAAATATTACAGCGTTTTATGTGTGTGATTGCCAATTAAATACGTATTATAATCAAACTATTTATATATGTAGTAAGTAATAAAGTTAATTTGTACAGCATTTTAAAATATTTCTTATTTCAATTGATAAATTTTAATAAAAACAGGGCTACTTGCTGTAATTGATAATATCCGTACATTTTTTACTTTCAATATTTATCTATCAAGCAAGTTTCAACAAGTAAATATAAGATTTTAGCAAAAACTACACATAAGAAATATAAGAATTTAGATTATATTAGTAAGGTTAGGTAAGGTTAAGTAGGCGTGTGCGGATATAACTATCAGCACTTCCACTCGGAGACATCAATTGCACATTGTGATGCCTTTACAATTGCCTGGGAGAGCAAATATTATAAAGTGTAACAGATACTTTGATTTAGTGTTGTAACGGATGTCTACAACTGCATCCACAAATATGGACAATGGAATGGACAAATCTTTCACTACATTATGACCGCTTTTAAATCCATTGTACCACTTATACTCAAGCGCTTTCGGTGACGTCCGAAAGTCCACCGTAAACGTTCAGAAACATTTTTGCGCTTCTGAATACAATATTACGATATTCTATTACAAATCAATATATTTAATTTATATAATTCATTTGTACCTACGCATTCACATCCGCTGAAACTTGCTTATGGGTAAATTAACATTAAATTAATTCGATTTAATAATGTATTGCGATTAAAAGTAGTTTAGTGTTTAAAAAAAATTGTTTCTTTATTAAATTGTCATTATTTGATTGAGTCGAACGTAGATTAATTATAGAGTACATATGTAAATTATTTTGCCATTTAATTGATTCGATTTATTTTACTGTGTAGCCTACAGTAAATTAAATTATTCGCATTAAAAAAATAAAATAGTTTCGTGTTTACACTTAAATATTGTAAAATGCAAACTTTGATAGTGTTAATAATTAAATAATATGTAATAACTTTTTTTTCATCAAATAATAGATTTAGATATCAAAAAGTTGAGAAAGTAAACGAAAATAAACTTAAGTTTATTGACGTTGACATATTTGCCTTTCCGGTAATCTAAGAAAAGCAATTGCTTATTTTATACACCATATTTCCCTTGAATCATTTGAATCATACTTTAAAGATATAGATTTAGTTTATTTTTAATGTTAATATTTAGTTGCCGAGTAACATTACGAAACACCAGCATTGTAGACGATATTGGAATCGTATAAATGACCAGATAAATGAGAGATCATGCTAAATGATTTAACGATGTTATAAAAATTATTTAATTACTTATAAGGACACCTAATCTTGTCGCTTATAAATGACTTAAAAAACACTAACACTAAACAAATTTTAAAGAGAATGTGAAGACTGAAAGTTTCGCCTAGGTAGATGGTTAGCATGGAAGGCTATACTATAGTTTTATACACAAGTCAATGTACTAGTTGTTTAGATATAAGTTATAAGTCATTGGAAAATTAAGCTGTGTTATATAAAGTAACATTGAAAGCTATTCCTATATAGATTTACGGCACAGAACTATGAGGAACGACTAGCAACTTAAATATGGAGATCTTGCAAAAATAAATTAACTTTCTATATTCCATGTGTAAATAAAAAAATTCAATAACTTAGTAAGATTCATCGAAAAAATAAAATAATCTTACTAATATACTTGCTGTTTGTAATTAGATACTACATGTAAAAGAAAAAGATTAATTAGAATTCGCATTCTAGACAGGCTCTATCATAATTAAAACGATTTGCACGCTAACATATATAAAATAAGATCGATGTGTTTATCTTCAATTATTATCTACATAATAGGTATTATAGAAATGTAACTATAAAATTAAAAGTATAAACTAACTAGTATAACTAACTATTGTGAAATCAAATTTCTATTTATATGTATACTTTTTATAGTATTACTTCTGTTTACTATTTATTAATATTAATAGATTTTAATTTGATTGAATAAGGAGATATACGATGATATATACAATAAATGAAAATTTCAATAAAAAGTTGCAAATAATTGCTTTATGTAAAAAGTTTTAAATTTTATTTTTCTATCATTTTTAATACTTAAATATTATATATATATTAAGGCGTATATTATTGATATATTGTATCTTTTGATATACAATTTTTAATAGCCAAAAATACTCGCTTAATCTAATGGTAATTCCACAAGTAGAGGAAATGATAGCATTGTTTACTATAATTTCTTTCAATATTTTTTTTTAATTTGAAAATATATTTTTTGAGAATTATTTGTCAATCATATCTAAATTGTGCAGTTTGTTAAAGATTATTTATGGGCATAGACTTTATAACCAGAATGTCATCCAGTTCTATTTTTACTTCACTTTTTGATTCGCGTGTTCTTTGATCAGATCATAGTTTGCTGAAAGATAGCGAACTTCAAGTCTTCAAATTTAAATAATTTTCTAAGATAGCATTTTTCATTTGCAGTTATCTATTAAATAATCCCATAATATGAGTCTGCGCATAGCACTACATCATATAAATAACAAACAGTTGTTAACTGTCAAATGTACTGGTTATTTGGGTGAAATTATCCATTTAGTTTAAATAATAAAATCATGCTCAAACTGGTCTATATATAGGTCAATATAACGTTAGGTCACTATAATTTCAACATTACTTGTAAAGTTGTTTTAGTTCCTTTTGAATG